AGTAAGCAATTGGACAAATAACATACTTCAAATATCTTTATGAAGATATTACTCATAGTGATCGGCAGGATGATTTGCCTTGGAGCTCGACCCTACACATTCTATGAACATAATGTGTCACAAATAATTCAATCCGTTCTTAATTCACATATTCCTCTTTAGACTTCATTCTTATCCTTTTAACTCATTTACAATGCTTAATGCATGCCTAAGAGTGCTTATAAGTGAAAGAGAACGAAAAACAAAACATAGAACGCATTTACAAAATTTCAGAAATAGGGGTCCCCGCTCGAGCGGACCCATTAGGTCTGCAAAAGTTTTGGTTACCTCATTTTTACGCTCGAGCGTGAATTCGGACACTCGATCGGAAAATATCACTACATGGCTCCCCGCTCGAGCGTGAACTTTCCCGCTTGAGCGGACATCATGTCTGCAAAATATTTTGGGAGCTCGTAGTTTACGCTCGAACGGCGGTTCTCCCACTCGAGCGGACGTCAAGAATTCTGGGTTTTCCAGAACTATTCTTTAAGTTCAAATTCGACCTCCAAAGGCTTTAAAGCTCAAATTAAGGCACCAAAAACATGCAAATACATCATATAGCATATGGATGTAAACAACATGAGGCCAATTATTCAAAATTATGGTCCAATCTTCAAAATTAATCAATATTTCTTTGTATAACCAAGGCTCATGCATTCAAACTTCATATAATCTTCATATCTTCAATATTCAAACATGCATGCCAATTTTTGGCTTCAATTCCATTTCAAATTATGCAAATGGTGTCCATTCTCATGAAACTCAACAAAACCATGCTTGCATATATGCTTTAATACTCATATTCCCATATTTAACTTAATACATACTTGATTATGCAAAATCATGGTGATCCTGCACATGCATGTGCATATTAACTTCAAATTCACCAATTATAACACAATTCTTGTTCTTAATCATCATTTAACTTTGAATTCACAAAGTTAGAAACTAACATCCCTGAGTCAATGTTTGATTACTCACCTAGGAGCCTTAATTCTCACAATTGTGGTCAAATCTTGCACCTAGCCTTCCTAATTCACAAACCTTGAGCCAAAATGCACAAGGATGCCTCCTCTATCTCTCAAAGTCGGTTCTCTCTTTTCTAGAGAGCCAAAATAAGCCAAAATGAAATAAAAGAGTGGAATTGAGTATATAAAGGCCCTTTTATAGTCCCACTAGATCAAATTTGATTATAGCTAATTAATGGCACTTAATTAATCGTTCTGAATCTAATTATTTTGATCCGAATCAATTTTCAATTAAATTTCACCGTAAGCTCTAAAAATTACGCCAATCACAGTCGCGTAGTCAATTTCGATTTCTGTGACCGATAAGGCCTTCAATTTAAATTTCAAAGGAGATAATCAAATAGATATTCCTACGGTGAACAGATAGAAATTCAAAACCACATATTTTCACATAAATGGCATACAAAATCATATCAAATACATAATTACATTAATAATAAAGGCTGATTAGCATAATACGGAACATGGTTATCACAGTTTAACTGGGCTGTTAGACCAGTTGACATACTGATATATGATCTCTCTTCTTCAGACCCTTCTTGTGGACTACAGGGCTGAGTGCTTATCCCAGTCCTTACAGATTGTAGCCCACCAAAATCTTTTAGCCCCTTATGAAGGCCCAATTGTTCTTCCAGACTCAGGCTAGGCCTTTTCAAACTAGACCCACTTAAGCTCCTTGTACAGGGAGCAAATATTCTGCGGAGCCTGTACTCCTTTCGTCCAAGCTCCTTGTCTATCTGATCGACCTGCGAGCACAACGGCGGTGAGCTACCCGGCGGTGTGTGGTCGGAAAATCCCTCAAACGGTCAAGTTAGCACACACACTCAAGGAGAGAGAGAGGAAGAGAGAGATAAATCACAAAGAGTGTTTCTCACCAAATGATGTTCCATCCCAGGCATTGGGGGCGCAGTCATGCTTATATACTTTCTGCGCTCAACTCTGCACCCATTAGTCTCTTTACACGTGGAGCTGCTCTCCCATCTATCAGCACAAATCCAGCGAACCCCACCTAACCAAACCGCCAGACAACATTAGCGGGAACTCGGCAGCCTGGCGGCATCACCCCGGCCTCCTTCGGAGAGAGAGGAAGAAAGAGATAAATCACAAAGAGTGTTTCTCACCAAATGATGTTCCATCCCAGGCATTGGGGGAGCAGTCATGCTTATGTACTTTCTGCGCTCAACTCTGCACCCATTAGTCTCTTTACACGTGGAGCTGCTCTCCCATCTGTCAGCACAAATCCAGCGAACACCACCTAACCAAACCGTTAGACAACATTAGCGGGAACTCGGCAGCCTAGCGGCATCACCCCGGCCTCCTTCGACCGAGCAACTTAACGAGTCTAACAGTGCCAATCGCCGAGCTCCATCACAACTGAGCTCAGTAGCATTCCAGTACGGCCGAGCTCCAGATAGGTTAGGCTGGTCCGTGAGACCTTTCTGTCGAGCTACATACGCGAACAATAAGCCTGGGTTGACAGACGATCATCTCGGCCGAATGGGCCCTGGACCTTAACCGAACAATCCACACTAGTTCAGCCAACGTTAGCTCGGCCCAAACACGCTCGGACCTCTTTTTAGCCCGGTCATTACCACGGCCCAAAGCCAAATTATGAAATCTTCCTCACAATTGCCCCTTAATTCTGTCTGCATTTGCGTGACCGGAATTACATTACAAGGCCGGGCTAGACTTTTTGCTCGGTGGTTCACTTTGCTCGGTCGGCGAGCAAGGTCAGCTCGGCGACTTTCTTCTTGGCGAGTAAGATCAGCTTGGCAAGGAACTCCAAGGTCGGCGGGCAAGGTCCGCTTCGCGACTTGCTTCTTGGCGAGTAAGATCAGCTCCGCAAGGAACTCTATAGTTGACGAGCAAGGTCAGCTCGGTGACTTGCTTCTTGGCGAGCAAGATCATCTCGGTAAGGAACTCCATGGTCGACAAGCAAGGTCCGCTCGGCAACTTGCTTCTTGGCAAGCAAGATCAGCTCGACAAGGAACTCAAAGGTCGGCGAGCAAGGTCCGCTCGGCAAGGAACTCCATGGTCGACGAGCAAGGTTCGTTCGACGACTTGCGTCTTGGTGATCAAGATCAGCTCGGCAAGGAACTCCAAGGTCGGCCAGCTCGGCGACTTGCTTCTTGGCGAGCAAGATCAGCTCGGTAAGGAACTCCAAGGTCGGCCAGCTCGGCGACTTGCTTCTTGGCGAGCAAGATCAGCTCGGCAAGAAACTCCATGGTCGGCGAGCAAGGTCAGCTAAACGACTTACTTTTTGGCGATCAAGATCAGCTCGGTAAGGAACTCCAAGGTCGGCGAGCAAGGTCCGCTCCACGACTTTCTTATTGGCGAGCAAAATCAGCTCGGTAAGGAACTCAAATGAGCAAGATCAGCTCGGCAACTTTCTTTTTGGCGAGCAAGATCAGCTCGGCAAGGAACTCCAAGGTCGGCGAGCAGGCGAGCAAGATCAGCTCGGTAAGGAACTCCAAGGTCGGCGAGCAAGGTCCGTTCGGCGATTTGCTTCTTGGCGAGCAAGATCAGTTCAGCAAGGAACTCCAAGGTCGATCGGTAAGGTCCGCTCCGCGACTTGCGTCTTGGTGAGCAAGATCAGCTCGGCAAGGAACTCCAAGGTCGGCCAGCTCGGCGACTTGCTTCTTGGCGAGCAAGATCAGCTCGACAAGAAACTCCATGGTCGGCGAGCAAGGTCAGCTCAACGACTTACTTTTTGGCGAGCAAGATCAGCTCGGCAAGGAACTCCAAGGTCCGCGAGCAAGGTCCGCTCCGCGACTTTCTTCTTGGCGAGCAAAATTAGCTCGGTAAGGAACTCAAAGGTAGGCGAGCAAGATCAGCTCGGCAACTTTCTTTTTGGCGAGCAAGATCAGCTCGACAAGGAACTCCAAGGTCGGCGAGCAGGCGAGCAAGATCAGCTCGGTAAGGAACTCCAAGGTCGGCGAGCAAGGTCCGTTCGGCGATTTGCTTCTTGGCGAGCAAGATCAGCTCGGCAAGGAACTCCAAGGTCGACCGGTAAGGTCCGCTCCGCGACTTGCCTCTTGGTAAGCAAGATCAGCTCGGCAAGGAACTCCATGGTCGACGAGCAAGGTCTGCTCGGCAACTTGCTTCTTGGCGAGCAAGATCAGCTCGGCAAGATACTCCATAGTCGACGAGCAAGGTCCGCTCGGCAACTTGCTTCTTGGAAGGTTCGCTCGGGGACTTTCTGCTTGTAAAAAATCATATTAATCGAATATCGATAGCTATCTCATCAAATTAAATTTTTATCAATCGTTTATTTTTTCGCCATCTATTTTTTTTTTTATACAAAACTGATTTGATCACGTAATTATCGATATCCAATCAACATGATTGTTTGCTGCATATAATACTCGACGAGTTGTACACATTGAACGATTTAAATTATCAACATGAGACCCATAATAAACCCTGCGAGTCTAACAATATCTTTCAATATGAAGCCACCCATTTTTTAATGCATAAGAAGACATGCTCTATCTAATCGGTATTAAATTCATAAAAATGGCCTGAATCACCATCATGGTACCATAATGAAATGATAATTAATCCTTTATCGACCTAGCTTGCAAATTGTTTTCATTAACAGCCCACAGAAGAAAAATCAATTTCTTGTTCTCTCTCCCCAAACTCTCTCTCTCATGGCGGGACCGGCGGGTTAATATCCGTACCTATCACCTCTCTCTACTCTACCACCGCGTGAGGTGCCATACAGAAGAGTCTGTTTCGTGTACGTTCACTCTCCCTCCCTGTACTGTTTTACAGTTGCACTACACAGTATTCTTCTCTCGCTCTCCGGGGTCCCAAAGCTACAAAATATATACAGTACACTTTCCACCAGATAAGATGAAGAGAAAAACCTCTTGTCCTAACAGTTTTTCTGGGTTTTAGTCCTACTCTACTACTCTTCGTTCCCACAGTTTCTAGGTTTACATTGTACTCCCAAACTTCCTCCACCACCAAACCACCACCACCACCACCACCACCACCATGTTCAGACAGTCTGGCACAAATGAAGCAAGCCCTAATTCAAGACAAGAAGACCCTACTTTCTTGTTCTTGCACTTCCCTTCACCTTTTCTTGACAACAGTGATCCATTATTTGTGCCCCAACAAGATGAGATCATAGATAGTCATCGAACCGACCGTGAGATCCACATGGAGGGTTCAAAGAAGCCTCCAAGATTCTGTCTGAAGAGGAAGAAGAGAACTGATGACGGTGCCAAAAACCCTAACCCTAGAAAGAGAAGTGGCAAGACAGATCGGCATAGCAAGATTTACACGGCTAATGGTCCGAGAGATCGGAGAATGAGATTATCGGTTCAGATTGCCCGAAAGTTTTTTGATCTCCAAGACATGTTAGGCTTTGATAAAGCAAGTAAAACCATAGAGTGGCTTTTTTCCAACTCAAAGGCCGCGATTAGAGAACTCACCGGAAATCTACCCCAATTGAATTACAATTGTGGTCGCCATGGGAAGGCAGAGCGTGTCGTCCTCGTTGGAGTGTGAAATTGCCATTAAAGAAGACACGAAGGAGATAGAAAGAAAAGGCGAAATCGAAACCTTAATGGTTGCTGCTGATCATAATGAGAAAAAGAGCAGAAAATGGCGAAAAGGAGCGTGTGATAATCGTCGAGCGAAGGAGTCCAGGGACATGGCAAGAGCAAGGGCGAGGGCGAGAACAAGAGAGAAAATGATTATCAGAAGCCTTGAAAAAGCAAAACAGTGTCTTGATCTTGATCTTGAAGCGAACACTAACAATTTGGAACAATTAGGGTCTTTGAGTCCCTTTGAAAGAGTCTATGGATTACATGCCCAAAGCCTGGAAAAAAATTCTCCTCTTGAATTATTGTCACATATAGAAGAACCAAGGCTTAATTCAATAGAACACCAGTTAGCTACTGTGGGCATCATTGAAAATTTTTTGGGTATTGCAAGCTCATCATCAACATCGCAATCACAATCGCAATCACAATCAATTTTTGATTTTCAGTTAATTCCAGCAGTCTCAGATGGGGTAGATTCCAACAGCTTTGTGGGTATTCGTGGAAATTGGGACATGGAAGATGCAAGAATCAACTCTAATTACTGTGCATTGACAACAGGTAATGTTCATGAACAAAACCCTAGCCCCACCTCAAATATTCACTCCCACTTCCAAGGAAGCCATTTCTCCTACAGGCCTCTGGATGGCAATGATAGTTACAGTCTAAATTAGTAGGTATTATAGTATGTTTCTTATTTCTCTTAAAGTTGTGTTTGGATCTTGAATTTTGGTAGGAATTTGTGTAAAGAAAGGAAATGGGGAGGATAACATTAATGAAATATAAGCTAATTTCATTTCATATTTCCTACATTTTTTCTTTTTCCTTCTCAAATTCCTACCTAAATCCATGTTCCAAACACAAGAGTTTGAGTTTCAAGAAGAATTCTATCTGTCTTCAACTTCTGTTTTTGTAAATCCCTTGCCAATTTGTACTCAAATTAACATGACAATAATAATCCTCAGTGTTTGAAATTTATTTGAAGGTGTAATTTAAATCATCATCTTGTTCTGTGTGTGAGTGTGTGTGATAGGTAGTGAGAAGCCAAATGTGAACTTGAGGAGTGTTTCTTGAATGCATACTGACATGAGAAGTCAAATGTGAACTGGAGAAGTATTTTGTGAATGCATATTGATATAACACACATGCACTAGCAAATAAAAATAAAAATAAAAATAATGTTTGAATTATCAAGAAAAAACCCGATCTTCTGTTATATCTTCTTTTTTTTTTTTGATCAACGCAAAAACTTTATTGATGACGGAAAACCTTACAAGAAAGAAAGAGAGACATCAAATATCTATTATATATGTTTGGATGTCCATTCTAGAAGGAAGAGAAAGCATAATACTTCAAATATTTTATTGTAATTTGGTTTAGGGAGTACAATGAAATTGACAATGGGGAAAATGCATGAAAATAAATAAAGAGAGAAACAATAAAAATTATATTTGTTTTTGTTAAGATAATAATGCTAAGCTAGAAGCGGGAATAACATTGGTAGAGTGACTGATTGATTCTCCTTTACCTAAGTGTTTTACCAGAATTATGTTCGATCGATCTTGGATTTTAGTAGAAATTTATGAAGGTAAAGGAGAATGGAATGGAAAAGTCATACAAATTTATCTTTGATTTTTCATCACTTTTCCCTTCTAATTTTTTTTTTTCATTCACAAATCCCTACACAAATTCTAGATCCAAACATAGTTTAAGGATTGTCATTAATTCTTTACTTGCATAATTAACATGTCATTAATGAAATTTCAGTGTTATTTATTTATTTACTAATTTATTTTTGTACAGGGTATATACCTTTATTACAAGTAACCGATCAGAGAAATGAACTAATGCATGATTTATTAAGGGATTTATTTGTTTGTTTTTATAATTCGGGGGGTAAAGTGATGACTTTCAATAGTTTAGGAGGTACATTGTATGTTTTTATAGTTTAAGGGTCAAAGTAATACTTTTTAATGATTTATGGGTCTCCAAGTAAATAATCCTAATTGAAATTGAGTATATTTATGTTTCTATGTACATATTATGCATTGAATTTCTTTATGAACCATTGGTGAGTGACACTAAGGATTTTTCTGTCATCGAGGACATGCTGGTACCTATATAAATATATCATCAGCATCAACCTCGGTTGTGGCAACAAATTTTGTTTGTGGTCCTATGAGTTAGTGTTGGTTTCTCACCAACACTATGCTTGGTTTTCCTTTTTCTCCTTTTCTCTTTCTCATCCTTGTTGATATATTTTCATATGTAATGTATGGTTTCATCATCAATAAAGATTTTTTTTATTGATAAAAAAAAAAAAAAATATCATCGGCATCAACGTATTGATCAGGTGGTCCAGAAGATATTAGACACTAGACAGATGGTTTTGCAACAATGGCTTAGTTCAGTGTTACATAGTAGTTATCCTCCTGTGAGACTCAATATATATGTTTTGGTTGTTGGTGTTTCCCTTTGAGTAAGTTACACATTAAGATGTATACGTAGTTGAGTAATCATTCATTTAGTGAAATACATATATATATATATATATTTTCTTTCTCTCTTCTAATTTGTGATATCGGTATTAGAGCTTTCTACGCTACAATTTCATCAAACCTTATATCTGTTCAACAACTTATTAAAAAACAACAACTGCACTGATGATCATTCATTTGTCTTTAAAGGTCACAATGTTTGCGGTCTCTATTAGTTTTCTTTTCATCTCAATTTCAATTCTCCACAACAAACTTTAGTACACTATGGTCCTGCATCTACATTTGCTTATGCTTCTAGTTCACTCTTCCATTAACACCTAGGTCATTCTTCTTCTCTAAAATTTCATCAAATAAATGTCAAATTCAGGCTTCCCTTCATGAGTCTTCTTCACTATGTACACACTGTTGTGTTTCTAAGATTTATAGAATAGCTTTTACTAATTCTAATTTCACTGTAAATAAGGCTTTATCACTAATACATAGTCCTGTTTGGGGCCCCTTTACTCCATCTCTTTTCATATTTTCTGAATTGATTGTGGTGGTGAATTCATATTTTCTGACTGTAAACACTGACATCTTGTTGAAACAACCATTACCCTTCTCCATTAGTCTTTTGCTTGGTTAGGTTTTTCAAAAAAAATATTTTTTAGAAAATTCTATTTTTTTGTTTTTCATGTTTTTTTATTTTTTACTGATTTTTTAAAAATATTTTTAAGTATTTTTTTTTTATTTTTTAGACATACCTAATATAAATATACTTAAAAAGTAAAAAAATTGTAAAAAAAACCTTTTAAAAATTCACTAAATACCAAAAATGCAAAAAAAATATGAGAATTCAGTATATTTTTTACATTTTTATGTATTTATTAATTTTTTAAAATATTTTTTCACAATTTTTTTACTTTTTAGATACATCTAAGCAAGGTGCATCTAAAATAATAAAAAAAAATATTTAAAATTTAAAAAATATTCACTAAAAATAAAAAAATAAAAAAACCAAAAAACTCAATTTTTAGAAAACTTAATCTAAAAAACTAAAATTAAACACACAGTAAAATATTAGTTCGAGGATTTTGCCACAGCCACATATCTCCGTAATAAACATCAAACCTTCTCAACATAATCTCCAGTAGTCTTCTTTTTTGAACTTTGGAGTGAAGTTGCTGGTTCATCCTCGTGAATTTTTTTTTTTAATGAAAGTTGTATGTAATTGTTCTTGTGGTAATTGTTATGCTTGTTAATTATTGACGAATTTTAATTATCCAGTTTGACGTAATGTTTTACATTTGTAATTATTACTTTACGGATATTTGTAATTATTATCTTACCCACAAAGTTCACCTATCCTTGTTATGGAGATTTGTAATCATGGACAAGCCCTAAGCGTAACTGCAGAGCTTAACTACACAGTTTACTATAATACTTATAATTTGGGTCTTGTATCATTTTGATCTCTGATTTTTTAATTATGACATATTTTATTATAAATTTTGAATTTTGTTCAAAATAAAAATAATTAAAGATACTATTGCTCTATTTCAAGAGCAAAGTCGTCAATTTGATAAAATATAAACTAATTTGATAAAAATAAATGTCAAAAAAAATATTTTTGAATTTTTAAAAATTATTTATACCACCCAAAGATAAAATTATACAAATTTGATAAATCTTTTATACATTTATTTATTTTTTTACCAAATTAATTTTTATTTTGTATTTGGATGATGATGATATAATTGATGGTTGCTAGACTTTTAATGTATAATCGATATATTTAATATATGAAATAATTTTAGTTTTGAATTTTTTGATTTAATAGATTGGTTTAATAATAATATCAAATTTGTTGCCATATTTGACTTTTGAAAAATTATAAACTAATTTAACGCAAAATAAAATAATCACTCATTAAATGATCATCATTTAAACACATAATAAAAATTAATTTGGTAACATAAATAAATAAATAAATAAATAAATATGTAAAAGATTTATTAATTTTACATAATTTTATCATTGGTGGATAGAAATATTTTTTAAAAATTTAAAAATATTTTTTGACATTTATTTTTGTCAAATTAGTTTATATCTTATCAAATTGACAAATTTATCCTTGAAATTGAACAATCATATATTCAATTGTCTTTATTTGAAATAAGATTCAAAATTCATAATCAAATGTATCATAATTAAAAAGTCAAGAATCAAAATGACACAAGTCCTAAACTATAAGGATTTTTAATATAATTCGCCCTCTTATTATTATTATTATTATTATTATTATTATTAGATAGGTACAGTTCACTATTATTAATCATACCAATGGCATTAAATCTGAGCCAAATTTTGATTTTTCTCGTTTGGGAACATGTTAATTTAGTAATTTTTTGATTATTTAGTTAAAATATAAACTAAAAAAAATTAGTATGTTTGGGATGACTTTTTGATTTTTTACGAAAAGATGTGCAAAAAGTAGAGAGAAAAAAAAGAATCTTTGACTTTTTGATATGCGTTGTTGACTTTTTGACTTAGTAATTTTTTGATTTTTTTACTAAACGGGAGGGTTCCCAAATGAAGGTCTTCGTTTTGTAATGGCTTTTTTAGTTGGTTTTTTTGTGTTGAGACTTTTTTAGTCTGACTTTTTTAGCCCTGTTTGGTTTGTCTTTTTTAATTTTTTTAACTTTTGTAAGAAAAAAAATGTAATAATTATAGTTTAAATGTAATATTTTATCTTATTAACTTATATAATTAATTTTATCTTTTTATACTTTTTTTTTTTTATAGCTAAAAATCAAATGCCAAACGGAGATTTAGTTTGTTTTTTTATTGTCAAAAATATTGAACTGATACCGATGAAGCCCACCACTTATACATGTTTCGAAATAAATGTTGATGAGGTAAGCATTTATACAAATTTTTATAAAATTTCATAAAATTTCTTACGGTGGTGTTTTATATAATAATTAGTGGACTAACTAGTTAGTATATTAATTAATGCATATAGCATTATTCAACAATAATGTATTAGAACTCTAATTTGTAAGTTCTAATAACTCTAATATGTACGTAAGACTCATCTGATGTGATGTTTTGACTTTTTTTTTTGACTTTTCATTTCATTAGAGTTTAATTAGAGCTCTAGTTTTAGAGGGATATATGTGTATGCCTATATTTTTTTTTTTTAATCACATCATTAGAACTCTCTTTAAAATTTTTAAAATTAGAGTTCTATTGTTCTTAAATCTAATGTGAATCTCTCGTTGCATTAAATCAAAAAACTAACAAAAT